TTTACGAAATGATATAGAAATACCTAATTCTGTGTCTCTATGACTACATGTTATGTGTTATTCAAAACAATTATTCTTCTCATAATTTGTGTCAAAATTGGATTTTTACAAAAATGGACGGAAATTCGAGAATATTATCGTCCAGAGCTGGACAAAGACCAATGACTAGTAGGCCATTAACGGGAACCGCCCGACCCCTCACAACCACTGGTCTGATGGCTCCGCGAACAGCGAGAGGCAAATCAGGTGTTCGGCGACAGATTCAGGACAAGAGTTATTTCATAAGTCTATTGCGCTCTAAAATCAATGATTTGAGTGCAGAAATGTCTGGTTTAAGCAAAGAATGCGAATCCATGACCAACGAAGAGGCGAGGATTGGTGTATATCATAGAAAGGCCGAGACGTTGGCTAAAGAATTGGCTGAAATGTCACACGAATTGGGAATTTATAACGAATTCAACGACAGATTAAGACTCAAAGAGGAAGAGAATGAGATTAAAGAAGACATAAAAGCACTGAAAATGCAAACCGAAGAATATATGGAAAAATTGGAATTCAGTTATGAGAAGAAGAAAACAAAAGAAGAATTGATGACAAATCATGAAAACGAATTGAGACAAATTCAGAGCAATTGGATTAATTTGAAGCGACAGTTCACTCCCGAAGACAATAAGAAATTTGAAGCGTTAGAGAAATCAAATGAAAGACTCGGTCTTCAGTGCGAAGAATTGGAATCAGAGATAAACGTATGGAAAGAAAAGCGAAACAAAATCGAAACCAATTCTCAAAACAGCGATTCACTCGTTAGGCGAGAGATATTGCAATCCGTGGCCAGAGTTCGAGACTTAGAGAAACAGCGAAACCATTTGGTGTCGGAGACGAGCAATAGTGGTGACGAAAGGGGACGCCTTTTAGCTCAGGTCAAGCGCGACAACAATGAGATCGCAATCATGGAGTCACGCATTAATGCCATCAAAGATCAGATCCAAGATATAAATAGCGAACTGCAGACCTATGAGGACGTCGGCGCGACTCTCAAATACAAAGAGCTCAAGAAGAAGGAACAGACTATCGACCAGTTCTTGACTGACTTTAATGACACCAAAAGTGATGAAACGAATAAAATTGTGAATACGGGTGAAGAGATCAGTGAATTGATGGGCAGATTGTCTCGTTGTTTGACTCATATCGATAGCTTAAGGGGTAATCCGAGGGAAAAGGACGGCAATGAGGGGGAGAAGAGTCGTCCGGTTAGTGGCAAACAGTCAATCGAGTCGTTAAGAGATGAGAGGCGGAAGTTAGAGCTGGACTTGAATAAGATCGAGCAGTTGGAGACCAAGATTGGCTCCGAAATGGATTCGTTGCGCTCAAAGATTAAGGGCTTTGAAGCGGATATTGAAAAGTATTCAGATATTCCGCGACTCAAGAGTGAAATCGAGGAGAAACTGTCGAAATTGCAAACACAGAAACAACAGCTCAAAGAAAACGCATCCGATTTGGAGGCGATTAATGAGAAGTTGAAGACTCGCTTCACTTCACAACAAACGAGTCTCGAGAATAACGATATCAATAAAAAGCTCCGAATCCTAGAAACCAAACTTCAGGATATCTTATCAACAAATGAGTCAATCAAGTCGTCCATAGATATCGGCGTCAATACAAACATTAAATTTCAGGTTTTCGATGAAATCAAAAAGTTTAATCAAAAATTATTGGGTTATTAATGCTAACAGAGTGTCGAGCGATACATGAAAATGCATTGCCTCTTATTCAACATAATATCTATAAATATGATGTATTATTTCATATAAATATTGTTTTATTAAGTTAAGTTTTATTGTTAAACATTTTTGTTCCCAATCTGTCAAAATAATTAATAAAAGTCTTGTTATGTGTAATTTGTTCAGTATTTATGCTTCAACTTTGATGTGACATTTAAAGAGAAAGTGTAATAAAACAATAGTCTATTTATAAGATACGGTAAATTCTATTCAATTATTTATTTTTATGAGAAATGTTTTTTTGTGCGAAGGATTCTCTCATTCATTTCAAGCGAATTTAAGAGAGTAATTGTGTTTTTGTCTCTCTATATATAGACAATTATTTCTGACATCCCGTCTGTAAATTAAAACTTCATTAAAAGTGAGTTCACAATAAAATTAGTGAATTGTAATCATTAACTTTTAGAGTATGAAAATGTTTACTTTTTTCTATTACATTAAACACAGTAATAGTTAAACAAATAGATAAACGAGGCGTCGATTTGCATAAAATTTGCTTTTCATATGAGAAACAGGCGAATGCTATAAAATTTTTGTGCGACAAATAAATACTAGATATAATGAATGTGTAATTAAAACAATAAAATTATTTAAAGAAAGTTGTTTTTTATTACAACACATGAGAGTAAAAACGCTAGAATTACTGCTAACTCTTATATAGACAATTATTTCTGACATCCCGTCTGTAAATTAAAACTTCATTAAAAGTGAGTTCACAATAAAATTAGTGAATTGTAATCATTAACTTTTAGAGTATGAAAATGTTTACTTTTTTCTATTACCGTATTATCCCATAGACAACGCGCGCGTTATCTAATGAAAAAAGTTAAATTCTTGGAAAATTATTAAATTGAGGTCCCAAATTTTAATCAATTTATAATAAAATTAATTATTTTGAATATAAATATAACTATTAATTAATTGCAAAACCAGTAAAAACGTCACAAAATTAATTGTTTTGCAAAAAAACATGTATATGTAGCACTTTTATTTTAAAATGTTAACAGTCTTTGAGATGCGCGTTATACACGGGGTGCGCGTTGTCTATGGGATATTACGGTACATTAAACACAGTAATAGTTAAACAAATAGATAAACGAGGCGTCGATTTGCATAAAATTTGCTTTTAATATGAGAAACAGGCGAATGCTATTAAATTTTTGTGCGACAAATAAATACTAGATATAATGAATGTGTAATTAAAACAATAAAATTATTTAAAGAAAGTTGTTTTTTATTACAACACATGAGAGTAAAAACGCTAGAATTACTGCTAACTCTTAGCAATGATTATTAGATTAGCGTTTTATGATAAAACTTTTATCTATAAATCATAGCATTTATTCATATCATTCTTTCATTCATTCATTTCAATGTGTAATTTCGATGCAAAAAGAAAAGCCCATATTTTTCTAACAAATTCTGCATTTTTATTATTCCTATCCATTCCTATCCACACATTCATACATTCGTTTCGTTTTTGTTGTTTTTTGTTCAATAAATTAATTCAAAAGTAATACTCTATTCGTACAGAATTTAAGGTCATATTTATTAATGCAATTAAATGTTTGAATTTGAAATGAAAAAATATTTTATTTTAGCAAAAAAATTAATGCCAAACAATAGCATGAATGTCACCAGAATTGATGCACTTGTTTGTCATATGAAAGCAATGGTTTCACATTGAATGCCACTCTTATCGCAATTTATAATGAGTCTAAACTAAATATTCAATAATAATGGGGTAATTAGTGATAAAAGTAGAGTCACTTCCCTTTGTATGCAAAAATCACAGTTTTCTGTCCTCCTCTATACCACTGAATACATCCTTACTATCCTTACTATACAAACAAGTGTTGCATAAGATTAAGACTTATGTCAAACATTTGGCCACAAGTTATATAAGTGTAATGTAATGCAAGAAACCAAGTGTTTGTCTGTATGTGAATGTGTGTGAGTGTTGGGGGCACTGGAAGTACCCGAGAAATACACGACAGGTTTTGGCATTTGATGGCAATTGAATGAAACACTGTATAAACAGAGTTAACGTGCAAAACAAGTGACGCCTATTTCGAGGGCTGAACTCAATATTAGCTGCACTGAAGTGAAGAGAGGGATAGAAGAGAGCCATAGAGTGGGAGAGAGAAGTGAATGGGAGAGAGAATGTGAGCCAAGACTCTCTGGTGTCGAGTAATACTGTACAGGGACTCTATGTAATACACGACATTACAACACAAGTAACGTCAATGCATAATCGCATTGAATTTAGTGATTGAAAATCCAGTATCGGTATCACGAACATTATAAAACTCAGTGTCGGTATCGTTTGTGTCGTTAGTATTGTCAGTACCGTTGGTATCGCGAGTATCGTTGGTATCGCGAGTATCGTTGGTATCGCGAGTATTGTTGGTATTGCGAGTATTGCTGGTATCGTCAGTATCGCGAGTGTCGGCTATATTGAGCATGCGCAATTTCATATGTTTTGCTTTAATACTAGTTAAATGTTGCTTTATTTAACACTGTTTAATTAATTATTAAAAAATACACGACAATTAGTTAACCTAGTGATTATAGTTAATTACACAAACATTTACACAATACAATAAAAAATGTTTTACAAATTTAATAAGTATTGTCTGTGTCGCGAGTATCGTTGGTATCGCGAGTATCGCGATACTAGTGTCGGTATCGTATTGTTATTGCAATACCGATACTCAGTGTCGTGAGTATTGTATCGTGATACCGATACTGAATTTTCAATCACTAAATTTAATGCGAATATGCATTGACGTTACTTGTGTTGTAATGTCGTGTATTACATAGAGTCCCTGATACTGTATTCGTCGACCGACTCCTCGCTGTTTGCCTTTGACTTACGTTTGCATTGATTTCACGTACAGTTCACTCAATTCAATGCATTCCTCACTTCATATCATATATTCATTGAAAATTGACTGAAAATATTATTTATTATTACTTTTTTGTTAATTATATTCTCACATAAAAGTATTGTTTATCTGTGAATAAGTGGTGTGTGTTTTGTGGCCACAAAATCACTGGCTATTAGTGTTTTGGACACAAATAAAAGGTCAGTAAATATGAGATATGAAAATAATAATAAGTGTCTGTTTTTGTGGTAAGCGTTTTGATGGCATTTTGTTTGCCATTAATAGTGAAACACTGCCTGACATTGAAATGGCATTACAATTGAATTTTGCAGTTAATTATGTATTCATTGACTGAAAAACACAACACTTTTTATAACCATTTTGTAGTTTTTTAATTACATTTAATAATATTGATATCGATGTATGAATTGTTGTTCATATGATGTGTGTATTAATAGTGTCTGTAATGCAATGCATGTGTGGTTTGTATGCAATCGTGAGTGCATTCAAACAAATTGATGGCTAAATACAAATCCGGATTCATTTGACCTCAATATCGATCAAAACGATTGTCTTATGTCTTACTGGAAGTGATAATCACTGTTTGTGTAACAAATGGTTTGTGGCATTCAATGAGATCCCAAACCCTCATTCAATGCCATCCAAACCAAAATTCTTCACTCAATTGAGTTTGAATTGATTCCCAAATCTAATCATTGAATCAATCGTTTTAATCATTTTTAGCTAAACTTTGCAATATTTTATGCAACAAATCATTGATTAGTTAATTATATTATTTTTTATTCCCATTTTTCCAATAGTTTTTTCATCGATACTTGACTTCAATTGAATCGTCAAAATCAGTGCTAAATATTGATTGTCTTATCACTACTGAAATGGCGAACAGTTATTGAGATTTAATTCAATTTATGAGTTGATTATAAACAATATATTTGTGTCTTTTTGTGAAACAATTGAGTGATTATTAAATGCAGTGATAATAATGAAGAACAGAAGGGCTAAAGTTGTCTACTCTTATGCGCCTCAAAACGATGACGAACTCAAACTAGAAGTCGATGAAGTGATTGAAGTGTTGGATGAGATTGAAGACGGTTTGTACACAACATTCACACCCATTGTTTGATTTGTGATTATTGTTGACTAATTGTTTGCTTTGTACCCAAAGGCTGGTGGAAAGGGGTTTCCCCGAAAGGCATTACTGGTGTGTTTCCATCCAATTTTGTGGTCGAAGTGACCGCCGATTCGCCAAAAGTGAACAAAAAGGAGGCGAAAGAAGTGCTGAACGATAAGAATGAGAACGAATCGAAAGACGACTCGAAATCGTCGCTCAATAGAGACGGAAGTCTGGAGAAGAAGCCGAAACCGATCAATAAAATAGGTTTCGGCGATATCTTCGCCGGAGGTATTAAACCGAAACTCTCGCCAATTGGCGACACATCGTTAGAGCGGAACAAAAATCTGCCAAAAAAACCTCCGCCACAACCGCCGGCACCCGAGCCGGAGATCGCACCGAAACTGCCGCCCAAACCGGTGAGAGAACAGGCAATGGTTTTGTACACATATGTGGCACAGAATGAGGACGAGTTGTCCATAAAAGAGGGCGAAATCATAAACATAGTGTCGAAAGAGATCGAAGACGTCGGCTGGTGGAAGGGAGAGCTCAACGGACGCATTGCCTTATTTCCCGACAATTTTGTCGAAATCATTAAAACACCCGAAGAATCAAATTCCACACCTCGTGTCAAAAAGCCCGGTCGGCCGGCAGAGAAGCCCCCGCCGCCCATCGCTTCCAACCAATCGTCTAATGCATCAACAAATCAGCCGAAACTCGAATCAAATAAGAGTTCAAACAAACCAACGGAAGAGTTGCCAAAAAGCACTGTCGCGGCCAACAGTTCTTCAGCGCCGGTAATACCGGGAAAAAAGCCAAAAGTATTAAATTCATCATTATTTCAGTCGAAGCCAAAACCAGAACCGACACAAACGCCCACTCCTTCTAAACCGGATGTCGTTCCGCAAGAAAACGGCACTAAACACGACAAAGACGTCGAGACAACCGTTAATAACAATAAGTCAAATGTGAGCGCAAATAGTAATAACACTTCAGAAAATAATTTTGTCGATTCGACGGCTAATAAGTTAACTCATTTGACGGCCAATCGACCGAAAGGGCCGTCGTCTCGACGCCCGCCCTCTACTATATTCATACCGAAGGATTCCGCGAACGAGTCTAACGGTGACATATCTGTGGTCTCCAATAAGATTGAGGCCAATAATAGCCATACGAACGATCACATAAAGCCAAGCAATCAATCCCTATCGCAAACACCACCCGATAAGGACAAGCCCGAGAAGTTGCCCCCTTGGATGCTAGAGCTCCGTAAGGCTCAGGAGAAACGCAAAGATAATCCCGAAGACTCGCCCAAAGTGTCCCTCAATTCGCCCACAAAGAGCTCTCCGAATAGATTTTCTGGAGATTTTTCTAATAAATCACTTCAAAACTCGACCACAGAGGAGAAAAACGAGTCGAACTCAACGCCACTGTTTAAGCCATTGAAGTCGACGAAACCCCACATCACACCCAATGCAGTCACTTCTTCTGTGCCGTCGACGCCGACTACGACGACGACAACGACCACCGAAACGCCACCTCCAGTGGCGACTGTTGTGGCGCCGACGACAACGTCCAGCAAAACAACAAATATAGTCATCAATTCGCCGATAATGCCATCGACAGCCACAACAACCACAACCTCTAAAGTGGATGAAAGTGTGACTAATTCGACGTCCGATAAGAGATTTGCAGAATTGGAGAAACAGTTGAAAGAACTGAAGGAATCAACAGTTAGTCGAAAGGAGTTCGAAGAGCTTTCCAAACAGGTATTTGTTTAATTGTATCTCTTTTTCTGTACGCTATTTATCGCAATATTTATATATATTTATCGCAAACTTCACGTCATGTTTGAAACGCTTGTCATTCAAACCAAGTAAATACCCGATTGTTAAATAGTTTGATGTATTGTTCGCTTAATTTGAATGCTTTTGCTCTTTAAATATATGTTAAGAATTGTCTTATTTATTAAGATTAACATAATTTGGCATTACTTTTGAAGTGAATATATTTCTAAAAGTATAAAACACTTGTTATAAATGTATGTATAGGTGACTGAACTGAAAGAAGCGGTCGACACACAGAAACTTACTTACAGTAAAACCATTAGAGATCTCATTAACGATGTGGCGGACGAACAGAAAAAGGTGGCGACCCTTCAGATCGAGATCGAGAGACTCCGCAAACTGACCACAACTGTGTAACCATCACTTAAATGTCTTCGACTACAACCGCACACCAATTGTGAAATGTTTTTATCGTTTTATGTTTTTATCGTTTCCAACAATTCTATTCTTCCCTCAAAACTAACTTTCCTTCAAATATTTAATTATCTTTTATTTAATTGATATTTAATCATAACTGTATTGTCCTTTATTTTGGTACCGATTTGTGGACTTTTATATTTATTATTGTTTATCAAAAGTTTATTTCTTTCATAACTTCATTAATTTTAAAGCATTCCATATATGAGTATAAAAATATTTTATTTTTTAATATAATTATCGAATTATCGCCGAAAATTGATATATAATTGCCTTCAAATACAGACCTATTTTAAGATTCAAATTGTATTTTTATTTACAAAATTATAATTTCAAAGTCGATAAAAACAGTTGCAGAGAAAAACACTGAATGAAATGTAATGTAAAATTAATTTTTTCATATAAAAAATGTATGACAACAGAGAAATTAATTAATCGTGACTTGAATTTGATGTGAAAAAGCATTTTGAATCTAAAATCAGTATTAAATTAATATTTTATTATATTTTCCATTAAATATGTAATGAGAAGAAAAAATGAGACTTTATTTGATTAGTTATTATTATTATTATTAAGATTAAGAAATGGGAACAATATTTTGTTGTTTGGTTTCTTATGCAAAAAAGTATTGTATAAATAATACAATTAAAAAAACAATTGAGAAACTCTAGTATAAGAAGAAATTTACTGTAATATTATTTTTTGGGTGCACTTTGAAAGCCCAGTGATGTTATTAAAGAAATTATTAGTGAAATAAAATATAAGTTATAATGAGATATAAAAGTGGAAAATTAAGACACAGAGATTGCCCGCTCCTGAGGAACGGATCCGCATTCCCATTGTCTTGTATTGTTTCCATTTGAATAATTGTATCAATTATTTGCCATAAAAAATGAAAACGTTTTTATAATACAGAAGCGTTACCTTTATTTTGTTAAATATATATTATATATTAAAAGGTCATAATTTTTGTTTGATTTTAATTTTTAAAAATTACTTTTTTAATCACAAATCTATGGTTTAATTTTATTTTTACTCTTTTGAAACAAATAAATTTAATTTCAGATAAACATTATGTAAAACAATTAGTAATTGTATTTTATTATTATTTTTTGCTAATTATATATAAATTCAAAGTAATTTAATATCAAAATAATAAATATTTTCAAAAATTTTATTTTAAGTTCATTTCCTATAATATGATTGAAAATACATTTAAAAACTTTACAAAACAACTAAATTAAATGAAAAAACATTATATCGATGCGATTTTAATGTAAATATTAAACTAAACCTATATTTAGACTAATTGTCGCTAAATTGTTTCGATACTCGTGTGTGTGATTAGGGCTACAGAAACCAATCAACAAATCATCGGCACCTATACCTCACACACAAAGCCTCGAAAAACTCGACAACTGTTTCTCTCATTAGTGTTACACTTATTTACATAATTAAATCTAAACTTAAAACTACATTTGCAAGAAAACACAGTTTTAAAGTTTAGTTGTGTTTTTTATTTTTGAGTCTCAGATCAGTAAACACTAAGAGAGAGAAACGGGTTTTTTCTGGTTAAAAGCCCTTTTCTTTTTGAATTCTTGTTCCGTACGATTTGGTCGTTATATTGTATGCGTCGACAAACCGATCCACACACAGGTTCAGGCATTTCTATCATCAAAAACAACAACAAAAAATATATATAAAATAAAAATACATTATTATAAATAAAACAAAAATCCAATTCTCTTCCCCTCTCATCGCCGAGTTTTCTTGTGGAGAGAATCAGTGCGTAAACTGTCAATAGATGTGTGGTTTTGTATTCACTGCTTAAAAATCTCATCACTTGTCTTATTATTGCAATGTTTTGTAAATCACATGTTTTGTGATTACAAAAAACAATTTAAAATACAATAAATATTCGGCGAAACAATTATAATCTAATCTTAAAGCCGAGTGTTATAAGTGTTATAATAAATAATTCAACATATTTTTTGCCTCGCATTCACTCTATGGAGAAGTACATAAAGTATAGCATTTTAATACCGGGTATTACACAGTGATATCGAATGATTATCTATTGATACAATCAAATAAAAAACAGGTCCGCAACCGAGTCCTGGATTAAACAAAACTCAATGTCAATGAATTATGTGTAGGAATTGCATTGAAATACACATAACTCGCAAAAAAATAAAATGATTAATAAACTCATAATTATAACAGTTATTCAAATATCAAGCAATAAATTATACGCGTATTGAAGTAATGAATAATATCTCATTATGTCATTCAAATGGGTTATGAATTAATAACTAGATATTTCGGTGAGAAAAACAAATTCAAACACTTTGTGTAACAAAAAAATATTGAATAATAATTTATAAATAGCATTGAATAGTGATTTATTGAAAGCAAACAAGCATTTAGTTTAAACTACATTTGAATGCATTCATAAACTTATGCTAAAATGTTACAAAAGACTAAAAGTTTTAATTCAAACTTAATTAAAATAATAAACAAAATTATTAAAAACCTAATTAAACGCTAAAATTAATGACAAAGATATATAGGAAAACAAATTAAAAGCAAATGATATAACAATGTGTATAACAAAGAGAAGTACTCCAGTGTTTGAGTGAAAACAATTGAGTATTAAAAATGTCAAAAAGAGATATAAGAAAAAGAGCTATTCATAAGAAGTTTGTCTTTTTTAAGACTACAATATTTAGAACAAAACTAATTATATTTTAATCGTTATCTTATATTAAATACCATTTTAACTCTTTCTATGCATTGAAAGCAATGCCGTCTTGTTTTAAATCAATTGTTATTTAGAGCAATGAAACCATTAATTATAAACAAAAACAGTTTTTTTAATTTTAAAAGCAAAATATGCTAAAAATTATATTAATTTTTATGAAATCATTTAAACCTCAGATAACTATAAACAACAAAAATCTAATTATAAATCAATTTAAATGCTAAATATTTTAATAGTGTTTTGGATAATTAATTGAAAGTTAATTTACTATTTTGTTTTAATGTTAATAATTGCAATATATATTGACTGCAATGAGGGTTAATAACCAGTATATTAGATACAAATGAATAAATTAATTGATCGACCGATTCTTAAATACCATTCAATCAATTAAATATGTCTCACAATTAATGCAAAAATGTAAACATTTTTTTCCAAAAGTTTAATAAAATTTTTATGTTTTAAATTAATTTGATTATAAATGTGTGAAAATATCTGACAGTATTTGAGATATTTTTAAAAAAATTAAAATAAAGTTCAAAACTTAAATAAAACCCCTTTTAGGGAAAACTCGTTTAATTACTTAATTATAGGCTTTTTCTAAAATTTTAATGTTTAAAATTATGTCAAAATTCATTATTAACTGTAAAATTTAAACATAATTTATGCATTCATTTGAAATTTAAAAATATCATTAAATCAACAAAATTTATTCAGTTTTCACACATAATTAAATACAAACATAAATAAACGACTGTTTCGTTGATTTGATTAATGACTTATTAAATGCGAGTAATTGTTGTGAAATATAATAAACAAAACAATCGCATTGAATATCTATAAGCAAAACAGCATTAAATTGTCATCAATTTGATTGAATCGATAGACAATAGTATAATCATTGACCTAAACATTGGCCTCAATTTAACTGCAAGTTCTCATCATTTCTCACAATTATATTTGAATGAGAAAGCAATCAATCGTTTCACTCATTCAAAGCAAACCGTATTTTTAAACAAAAATTTTAAAACTTCACTACAATTAGTGACGAGAAGACAATTAACGGTAAAAACCATACAATCAATTGACAGATACTGTATATTAAGGGTTGGTTAACATAACTGTAATCAATGCAATGCATTGCATAATACATACGGTTTCGCTATTGTCTAATGAAGTGCCGGGTTTTACAATGCATTTGGAAAAACACTTTTCAGTCATTTTCTGCAATCAAATTAATTGTTGGTTTAAAAAACACGAATCCAATGGTGTATACAATTAATATCACTATTAATGATATCGCTATTTAACATGTGATTCAATACAAACTTTAAGCAATTCGTGAGCGTTTGCGACAGCGATCTGTTGTTTCACAGTATCCATGAGTTCCTCCTTCTGAGCGCCCGTCAGTTTACCGCCCGATCCGTCCATTTGTCACACGATTTGTTTGGTTTCAATCAATCACTTAATTGTAATTAATTTTTAAGTAATGATTAGTGGGTTTTATCCATGAGTTCCTCCTTCTGAGCGCCCGTCAGTTTACCGCCCGATCCGTCCATTTGTCACACGATTTGTTTGGTTTCAATCAATCACTTAATTGTAATTAATTTTTAAGTAATGATTAGTGGGTTTCAAATCACAACCAGTGGTCAAACTCGACGCTAAACACAACACAAACACGTTTTTCAATACAGATTGTGACAAATAATTACGTCAAACAATGCAAACAAACAACTCATTTAGAAATTCAATTCAATTTAAATTAATTTACATTTAATTTATTCGTATAAAAAATTCACTATAAAATGGTTTGAATTACACATTCATTACTTAGAAATTTTTTAATGAATTAAAACTATGAGAAAATGGTTTCAAGAAATATATTTTATAACAAATATTCAAATGATTGGATCAAATGCTACGATGAGTGGTCGCCAGAAGTGTCATCAATAGTTGCGATACGTGTCGGTCAACACTTTCCAGACGTTGTTTTCGGCGGTCAATAGAAAAGATTCGGTAAAACTCTTGGTATTAGTGGACGAGAACTTCATTTTGCCGTTACAGACGACTGCAATACTCGTCTGTTGTCCGGACGCCGCCTCCAGAACGGGATGGGCGTCGATGGAGAAGAGCTGTGTCTCAACGGTGGGCAGACTCTCATAGAAGGGCACGATCTTGGCTTTGGTGGTCACGTGATTGCCGTTCCAGACAACAGTTGCCGACTCGTGGAAGAGTGAGGCCATCGTATGCCTCCCTTTGTCTAACTTCTCGTAAAAGAGTTCCGCAAACTTCTTGCCGCTATCGCAGGCCTGACTCAGCCGTAGGGCCGACGCCGTCGACGACGCGGCGCCCGAAGGAGAGCTCATCAACGATGCCATTGACTATCAATTCGTCGATCGCTTCTCTCTTTTAGCCAATATTTGTCTCGACTTTCAATCCTTTGTCCAAACGATACACTCTTTGCTTGTGTTTGTGTTTTGCAAACGATTTGTTGTATTAATTGAAACAAAACTTAATTTTAAAGTTAACCACAAATCCAATGATATCTTCAAAAAACGACAACAAATAGATTGAAAGCTATTGAGCACTGAATACAAAGCACCGGTTGTTGACAGCAATGATGTAATCATGTGCTCAACACATGTCTGTCCCCTCTCTGCGAACGCAATGGGTTTTTGATGTTAAATATGAAGACATGTATTGAGAAAATGACATAATTTATGGACTATTTGTGGAAAAGTGTCGACAATTCTCGAGAATGTGTGACGAAATTCATTGGCATTTCGTTACAAACAATAAAGAAATGAAAGTTTTGTTTATGTATTGAAAGACTCGCCTAAAGACACACTTTTGCCACCATTTGATCCGCTTGTGAGCGGTCATCACGTATTGAAGACACGATGGCAGCGAATCTGAGCGACCAATCGATGGAAACGATAAAATCGAAAGCAATCATCAAATATGACTCGTTGTCGTCCAACAGATCCAAGTTTACGTATCTCTCGAGTGTCTGATTGGAGTTCTGTGGCGGTCTGTTGACCGAGACGCCGGCTAAGCCACTGATATTGACCTCAATAGGCGAGGTCTTCTGGTTGAGTAGCTACGAGAGGAGGAAGGCTTACCGGTTGTGAAATCCCGAATGTGTGGGAAGTGTTGATGTGATCGCGGAATCCGATTGTATTAAGAAGTTATTGTTAATGCCATTCGACTCGACGCTCATCTCATTAATGGTTCACCGAATCGGCAATACTTTGCTTATCGATGAATTCGATTTAGCGAATCATCTGATCCTCAATGAGAGCAAACAGTGGTCATGGCTTAAGAGGTTTGTCGACAATATGATCGGTAAATATCACTTATTCTTGACACGTGTTTTGTATGTTTTAATGATAACTATATGTTTAACATTACAGTGAATTGTAAGCCAAACTCGAAGCCAATGATCACCAAAAAGATTAAGACAAGGGATGAGTTGCAGACGAAGAATATGTTGTGTAAATTCTTACACTATTCTGTCGATGAAAACCTCAACCAAACGAAAGACTTATCCAAAGAGTTATCGAAAGATAAGCTCCAATTGTCGCCGAAAAAAGTGTCTCAAAACGAAAACATTGAACACAACAACGAGAGGAAAGACTTTTATTTCAGTCATTATAATCAAGAGAGCCATATGTCGGAGATTATAGCCAAACAATTGGATGCCATTGAAGACAACTCTGAGTCCACTTTTCCTGGATTTTTGCGTAACGTTTTGTGGACTTTCGAAGACATCCGGATGTTAGTCGCCTCTAATATGCCTATATTTGGTGACTCACATCACCCGGCGGTCAGCCTAAGACTCCATGACATGAAGAGACCAATTAATATACTCACAGGACTTGACTACTGGTTGGATAACCTAATGTCTTCAGTGCCTGAAGTGATGATGTGTTACCATTTGGAAGGAATTGTTCAAAAATATGGTATAGTTTTTACATTCTATTAATAGCCGTAAATATTATATTGAATTAATTGTATTAAAATTGTTGATTTATATATAATATGCAGAACTCGTGAAAACAGAAGAAATTCCTCAAATGTCTTCTACAAAAGGGCCGCTATTTTCACCAAAAGTGGTGCAAAATGTGGCCCAAAATATTCTGTCGTTTTTGAAATCGAAAGCAACCAAATCTGGTCACACGTATTGGCTGTTCAAAGGCAAACACGACGATGTGGTCAAACTCTATGATCTGACCACTCTTTGTGTCGATTATATAGAAGAGAGTGATACCAATCCGTTCGCAATTCCAGTGGCAATGCTTTTGTATAGAGTGGCGAAGAATATGAAAGACATTAATCTGAAGCGCTCGCCCGCTATTGACTCCAAAATACATAAGTTATTATCAAACTGTTTATCACTATTGGATCCGTCGAAACATTCGCAAATTGTTTCGTCTGCTAATTATCTGCTAAGCGATGTCTATATTCCTAATGATATCGATCCAACTCTTCTGCCATCAGTTAATGATAACAATAGTGGAAGCGATGGCAGTGAAGGGGATTACGATTTTGATGACATCGATTCCAGTGACGGGTCGAGTGATGATTCAACAGTTGCCACACTAGAAGTCAATAAACTAAGTGTTGCCGACTCTTATGCCAATGAGAAGCAAAAGAAATCCAAACAATCCAACAGTGAATTCGATGCCGAAAACAGTTTGGATTGGAGTGTGAAGTGTGAGAGAGCTCTCAAACACATCATTGAAGGACTGAAATCATTGTTTCACTCAAATGTACAAAAACAAGAGGAAACCATTTACAAGACCTCTAAAGATGAGAACCAAAAGTATGCGAATCCCAATAAAGCGATTCCATTGGATTATAGTTCGTTGAATGAAAAGGACGACCAAAATGGTTCGCTATCTGGCAAAGAGTTGACTCAAGTATCGCCGCAAGTGATACCCAATTGGAAGACATGTCTGGAAGTATGTCTTTTGCAAAAAGGCGCTCAAGTATTCTGTATATTATCGGAACTATCGAACGCAAAGGGCAGTTGTCTTAAAGCACTCAAATACATCCGAATGGGAGTCATGTGCTATGAAATAGCACTCGATATCATTGAGAAGAGCGAACAGATTAATTACTATAAGGAACCCATCGCTTGTTTACTCGCCCTCTGCGGTGATATTCATGTAAAAGTACTCAACTCTTCGGTTCCCGCAAATGATTCGGACTGTGATAACGATAACAAGGAATTGAATGATTTATATTTCAATCAATTGCCAGAAATACTCGAAAAATTCAGTGAAAATAAGTTAATAGAAGAGTTTCATTGGGCTTATAATCCTGTGATCAGTAGTGAGAATAGTATCGAACAGAGACTCAAAGTGTGTTATCGATGCTATGAGGAAGCCTTGTATCAATTAAATGATATTAAGCCCACAAATAAAGCCAAGAATGAGAATAATGCCCTTCAAGAGCGACTCATGAAACGTTTGGGCTATATATGCAACGAATTGGCCAACTATTACATGAATGAATCTCTCAAACATTTTAATCACACCATAAGCGAGGGCTCGACAGCTGAACAACAGCTGAATGACAGTGAAGTGAGTCGTTTGGAAAGACTGACAAACAAGAGTCTCGTATACTTTACAGAAGCGGTAGAATTGTTTCGCAAAGTGGAGGACAGAGAGAATATATCGTTAATGTTGTCAAATACGGGTCGTCTGATGAGAACGTGTGCCCATATATTCGCGCCCACATTCAGACACAACAGTTCCGATGAGTTCTCAGCCAAAGAAAGACAATTCTATGTCAAAGCTATTGATTACTATAAATCGGCGCTTAAAGAGTTGGGCACCGAATCGCAGAAGAAATATATGGCTGTTTCCGATAATATCAATTGGGAATTGAGTACAACTCTGTACACTATTGGATGCCTTATACAAGACTTCGCTCCCCTCTCGACCTCTGCCTTTGAATCGGTTGAGAAAGAGATCAGTAAATACTTTGTGGAAGCACTGGATTTTTGTGAAAACGGCCAAAAACGTGACACTTCTAGGAATGTGTTATACCAGTACAGGAACGCCACTATTAGCCATCGGTTGGCATCTCTTTATCACAACTCATACAGAAATATGGTTTGTATTTAACATAAATAATATCGTTATATTAGTCTCTCATTAATTGAATACATGTTTGCAGAGCGAAGAAACCGAGAGAAGAAAACAGGTGTACAATCAGTCCAACAGTTATTACGAAAAGTCGCGTCTTATGTATCGATTGCTTAACGATAAGGAAGAGTACGTTAGGGTGTGTTTGGAACAGATAGGTCTTCACGAACGCAATTTGGCTCAACTCAATGGATTCGCCTCTAAAGTCAAGTGTCTTCATCTCATTCTCTCCATTATATTAACCATTCATGACATGGACTTCACGGACACCGAAACAGAAGAAGACAAAGAAAAGATCGACAAATTGTTGCAATTGTTGAGCACACGGATCGGTCTCTCCATTAAAGCACTCATCAAATGCTATTCAAACAAAGCGTCAAAATATAAGGATTTGATTCAGAAATGGACACAAATTGACGAATTTATTGGCAAAACAAACGCTTCTAAACGGACCACAGTTTATGATAAACTCAACAAAATTTGCGTTAAAATTATTTCATCCAAACTCTTGGAAACGAGTCCTCAAAAATAAAAATTCATTTTTTGCCATAAAATCTCGCACTTTATCAGAAAATTGTAATATATTTCACATAAATTAACATATTTTGTATATAATTTCAAACATATTTTGATGCCTACAAAATGGGCATAATAATAATATTGTAGTGAATAATTAAATTTTTATTATAAATTATAATAATGTTAACTAATAATTACATTTTAATTTGTTAACAAAAAAAAATGTTACCAATTATGCACTCATAATACTAACAGTGTATTAAACATTACAATCAATGAATTATTTAAATTTAAATACAATATTCAAATGTCCACAAAATGGTCAGACATTAATATTTTATTTGAAGGAAAAAAGGCAAAAGTTTGATGCAATGTCTTTCCACCGCTTGTGTGGCGTTTACTTCAACTTCTTCTTGGGTCTAAGATTGTTACAGTGACCGCACTTTCGCTTCCGACAGTTGGTGGCCTTCGGGTGCAGACGAGCGTAACATTTCCTGCAAATCATTTTATCGCAATTGGTTTTCTGGGCCAAAATGCGAAGACTCGGCTCAATCACACCTCCCCTCAGACGCAGCACCAGATGAAGAGTCGACTCTTTCTGAATGTTATAGTCAGAGAGAGTGCGGCCGTCTTCCAGCTGTTTGCCGGCGAAGATGAGTCGCTGCTGATCCGGAGGAATGCCTTCCTTGTCCTGAATCTTGGCCTTCACGTTCTCGATCGTGTCCGACGGCTCCACCTCTAGAGTGATCGTCTTTCCCGTCAGTGTCTTCACGAATATCTGCATCGTGTCTATCGGTGTGTCTTCAAAATGTTGAATAAACGGACGAAACTATAGATCAATAAATGAATACAAATTAAATAAAGCATTCATTAAATGGTTAATTGCAATGAAAGCGTGTTTATAGTCAGACATCCAAGGAAGTGAAATATTAATCAATTTTGATCATAAATGCAGTGATTTTCATCAGTTTGTATGCAATTAAACGCTAATAATAGTAATCAATTGATTGTCACCTTTGGTTCCTATAGGAAGTGATGTCCACTTCTTGTGGAGACGAAAGCAATCACTGAAACGAAAGACACGTTTGAATGACTGTAAGGAAAGAGAAGTGAAATTCAAATGATAGGCAAAACACGTGA